TGCTTGGTCGAACCGAACAAGTTAAAAATTTAAAAGTTTGAGCATGAAGGCAACTTAGCTGGTTAATGTGTTTGGTATTGATGACGTGGTCTGAGCTTGATGCGGGACAAGATTCCATCCCCCAAGCCGGTCCCGAGGTGGCGGAGCAAAGAGCTCGGCACTCCGAAGTGGTGACATAGCACGGTCAATGCAGGGCGGCAGAGTGATGCCGAAGTCCCCGGCATGGGGTAATGAAGTGTTGACGAAGCCCCCCGTCGAGCCGAGGTGACATGGTATGTCAATACGTCGAGTTGACGATACTGCCCAACCCGGATCATTTTCCTGTGCATAAAAAATAGTGCAAATCGGAGATAGTAGTAATAATAATAATTTTAAAAAAATTGTTGCATAATAAATAATTTATGCAAAGTGAGTAATAAAAGAAATATGGCCTGGCGCCAAAGTCAATGTCGATGCAGGGCGTCGGCGTGATATGGTAAAGGCGTGGCAAATCCTGAATTCACAGGTCGGTCCGAGTTCCGGATGCGGCGTTCGCCAGACCATGTACGGAAACTGACCGAACCACTATGCGACCGTTGTTAATGCGGCCATCATTTGATAAACATGTGTACATATGATGGACAAACCAGAGTAATAATTCCTTGGGAAAAATGAACCCAAACAAGCAAAAAATACTAGGATTAATAGCACCTGGTTTATTTGTTGTAGCAATCCGAAGAAAGGTGATTCCCAAAATTGGGACTCGATCCGCACACTCATTGCCTGATAGGCGATAAAGCGACGGCATGGCGATGCTGGCAAAGGTTGGCTCGCCGAGGCAAAGCCCTCGGTCCAGCTAACGTGACGGAGCTGGTCGGCTAGTGACGCCGAAGTCTCCGGAGTAGGTTGATGAAGAGATGGCGAAGCCCGCGGTCCAGCCGAGATGTCGAAGCCTCGATGTCAGCCGATGAGTCGGAGTAGGTCGGCATGATGGACACCGGCTTGAAGAAGCAACAGTGTGGCCCTGCCGATGCAGGTCGTGACGTGGTCAATGCCGGCTTGATGAAGTGACCATGCGGCGATGCCGGTGTGCCCGCTCCATGTAATCCGTGGGGCGGCGATGTTGGTGATGATTTATCCTTCACAATGCCGAACTCTTGTTCAGCTTGCCGAGATGATGATCCGAAGAAGTTGAGCTCGGCTCAACAAAGTGACGACGCGTCTAGCGCAGGTCGGCGGTCTTGAAGCAATATTGCCGGACTGGTTTGACACCAGTATGATGATGAAGATGACCTCAGGGGAGGCTTAAAATTTTACGGGTACATGTTTAAAAACGACGCACAATACCCTAGAAGAGAACTCCTCTAAAAAGGTTGTCCAATATTACGTTCATAAAATAAACATGAACTCGAGTCGGATCCGTATTCGCGCAGAAAACAGATCCGAAAATTGGTCCACTTATTGAAAGGTTCCTGGAGTTTGAACCGTCGAATCGAGCTGAAATTTGGAGGGGTGGTAGATATGGGAATTCTGCAGTAGATCAACGGTTGGATCTTCCAAAGGACATCCGAGCTAGGCTCTGGAGACCACGCACTAAACTCGTCCAGATTCCCGTCCAGATTTGACAGGGCTCCGGTATATCGTAGATTGTCAGAGATTCCTCCATCAGAACTCGACGAAATTTTGCATGACTGTTGTAGACGTAATTCCGCACTATTCCACTGAAGCAATCGTCAAACCGACGCTCAAGGAGGCGATGACGACGGATACAAGTTCGCTGTCCATAAAAATAGCACGGCCGCCCAAGGACAATGTTGATGTTGAGCCCTCGAGCTCCATGGATGATTCCGCTATGATCATGATAGAGATCGGAGTTAATGTTGAAGAAGGCCCCTGTCCGAACATGAAGATCGGAGATGGAGCACGATCCTCGGTCGAGCCAAGGTGACCAGTCGAGCCGGCGACGAAGATGCCGACGTCGCAGTTGACCTGCAGGCGAGCCATTGATCCTTTTGCCGATCACACAACGAAACTCTCAATGAAAGCACCAATGTCGGTGTCAAAACCGGCGGATCTCGGGTAGGGGGTCCCGAACTGTGCGTCTAAGGCTAATGGTAACATGAGGCGGTGTCAAAATCAATGGAGGTAATACCATACTTCCTGCTTGATTGATCTTGATGATATGAGTATTACAAGAATTGATCTACCACGAGATCATAGAGGCTAAACCCTAGAAGCTAGCCTATGGTATGATTGTTGTTATATATCTATCGACTAGCCTGGCCTCGGTTTATATAATGCACCAGAGGCCTATGATAACAAGAGTCCTAACCGAATACGCCGGTGGGGAGAAGTCCTTGTCTTGATCGCCAAGTCTTTTGGAATCTTCCTTGTATGCGGCAGCTGTCCGAACTGGCCCATGAGTATACGACCATGGGGGTCCTCGGCCCAATCTAACAGATCGAGAGATGACGTAGTGAGAACCCCCTAGTCCAGGACACCGTCAATGACCGAGACACCTCTCCGGTCAATAATCAATAGCGGAATCTGGATGCTCATATTGGTTCCCACGTATTCTACGAAGATTTTTATCGGTCGTACCATGATGACAACATACGTTATTCCTTTTGTCATCGGTATGTTACTTGCCCGAGATTCGATCGTCGGTATCTTCATACCTAGTTCAATCTCGTTACCGGCAAGTCTCTTTACTCATTTCGTAATGCATCATCCCGTAACTAACCCATTAGTCACATTGCTTGCAAAGCTTATTATGGTGTGCATTACCGAGAGGGCTCAGAGATACCTCTTCAGTACTCGGAGTGACAAATTCTAATCTCGATCTATGCCAACCCAACAAACACATTCGGGGATACCTGTAGAGCATCTTTATAATCACCCGGTTGCGTTGTGACATTTGATAGCACACAATGTATTCCTCCGGTATTCGGGAGTTGCATAATCTCATAGTCGAAGGAATATGTATAAGTCATGAAGAAATCAATAGCAATAAAACTTAACGATCATTATGCTAAGCTAACGGATGTGTCTTGTTCATCGCATCATTCTCCTAATGATGTGATCCCGTTTATCAAATGACAACACATGTCTATGGTTAGAAAACTTAACCATCTTTGATTAACGAGCTAGTCTAGTAGAGGCTTACTAGGGACACAGTGTTTTGTCTATGTACTTCCACAAATGTATCAAGTTTTCGGTTAATACAATTCTAAGCACCTCCCTAAGCATTTACCATTGTACAAGACCTAAGGGTCCGCGATATAAAGTTCTGTTAGAGATGCTCTAAACGTCTTGCTCAGCACGCTTTGCTTACTCGGCTCTAATTTTTCCCGGACGTGAGCGCTCGCTCGCTCACCCCAATCTTTGCGTGCTCCAGAAGGCTCTCCCGTGCTGCGCCACTCCCCACTCCCCCACCGGCCACTTGCCTCCCAGCCGTCGGATCCCCATCCGGAGCCGATCCCGGCCGCCCAGCCCCTCCCACTCCCACCCCTCGAGTTCCCCTCCCCCCTTTTCGAAACCACCTCCTCTCTCTCTGCCTTTCGCATCCACCCTTCCCTATCGCACCAAAACGGAGCTCCCCTCCATACCGAGAACAGAAGAGACGAAGCAAACGAGGAGCGGACCACCGAGCGATCCCCCGCCTCCGCCTCCGCCCCGCCCTCGCGCGATCTGATCCGCCCGCCGGCTGCTCGGCCCGGCGGATCGGGCCAATGCTGCGGGGATCCGCCCTCCGCTGCCGCCGCTGCTGATCGTGGTGAGGTACGCTCCGCCCGATCCGCCCGATCGCCGCGTTCCTATGCTTATTTCGCGGTTGTTTTCCGGTAGATTTCGTGATAGACGAGTCAATTTCAGCTCCGCGTGATCGGGCGCGCGGGATTTCGCCTGATCGCGCTGTATTTCGCGCCTGATTTCTGATTCGGTGCGAAGTGACGTCAGCAGAGCTGGCGGGGAGGGCCGGGGGGTAATTGTGGAAGAGCCCGCTGTGGTGCCGGATTAGTGTCTAGTTTTGAGTTTGAGGCCGCCGCTCGTGATGCGTGAGGTGATACAGAGCTCGGTTCCGCTTAATCACCGGCTGTAATTTCTGCTCTGGTAGCTTTAATCGACCATTTTTGCGCTGCTAGCTGTATCCTGGTTTTGTTGATTGTTCCGATAATTTATATCAGCGCATATTTAGGTAGTTTTTAGTTGTTTTTTTGTTGTTGCTCTGTTTGCTTAACTGGAGCTATATGCTCTCCATGTAGTAAACACAGTGGGGAATCCATGCTCAGTCACCGTATCCTTAAGCTGATTTACAGTGGAATTGACGGTCGAAGTGTGGATTGAACAGTAGGCAGAGCTATTTTCAGGCACGGGGTGCTTTCACCACTGATGAATTTAGTAGATTCTTGAATGTCTCCTGTTGATGTTAGCCCTTTTGTTAGTTTTTCTGGGGACGATTTCCTGTATGTAGGAAGTGCTATTGTTCAGGAACTGGCTAATGGGGTCTCGGCTAACCATACGAAGAACTAGATACTTCTGTTAATCTTGGAGGCATAGCTGAAGTCAGTTACTACCCCTTTAATCAGTAATGGGGAGAACTACCTGGAGAAAATATCAGTGGCTTCATTGATGATGCTTTACATACTGTTCTAGATTGCAGCCTGAAATGTGTTCATGAAATCTTGTCAGGTCAAAAGAGGAATATAATCAAGGAACTTCTGCTCTAGATTGCATTCCAATTATGCCATGTTTTTTATGTATATGAAAATGATGATTGATGAACAATTATCATCTGAATCCTTTTGTTTGCCACAGTTTTATTCACTACGACATGTTTTCCTCTTGGTGACTTTGTTCGATCAGCATTAACAATTGCTTCTGCTGTGTTACTATTACGTACTCACCTTCATTTTTTCTTGGATGGCTTTATACTGTAGTTTGAATTGATTCCATCTGATTTTAGAATTCCATTCTGGCAGGATTTGATTAGTACGAACATTGGATGAAGTTTGTACTGATCTATGGAAGTGGAAACTCTACAAGATGCTGAGGAGACTAAGAATGGAGGGAATGACTTTGAAGAGAATGGCAGTTTGGATCCCGTGGTTTACCAGCTAGTTCGGGTATATTCTAACTTTCTTAGTTGTACTGTATCTCTTTGGCTATATTTGAAGGTACATAACTCACTGTGATGTTTCCATTTGCTTATAGCCCTTTGATAAACGTTTTTTTTTCTTTTAAAAAAGGTTGAAGGTGATGGAACGCTTGTTCCTCCTACGGAGGACGAAGTCCTGCAGATTGAACAGTTTCTTGATGACAAGGTTGATCTGCCTTCTATTGATGATGTAGGAAATGTGGAGGATTTTTTTACTAATGACTGCATGCTTCTGAAGGAGCCTGACTTTGAAGGTGATGTCAGTATCTTTATTCAGTTCGAATTATTACAGTGCTATATCATTTCCTTTTGATGATCTTACTTCATTGGACAGTACAGTATTTAAGCTGTGATGTTGGGATGCAGTTTAGCCATACAAAGTTCATGTTTCATGCATCATATTGATAGTCCATACAAAGTTCATTAATTCAACCCCTTTGACTACTTAAGATGCTTACTGCTTATTAAACTTGTGCAGAGGGGTATTCCGAATTAGAGACTAATGGTGAAATACATACACAACAGTTTGATGCTGACCTAGAGGTATGTATGTTGCTTTTGTAGGGGTATCATTATTTGCCATGATTTTAAGCTTGTCAGATTTGCTATTTTACTATAGGTTTATTCTACTAGAAAATAGGTTTGGTGTGTACACATGATTCTTTCGGGTCATGTTTGAAACTAAATCTGACATGGTTTTCATATGGGCTGCCCAATTTCTATAAAATTTGCAAATCAGAGTTTGCCATGTTTAGAAGCATGATTTTGTTTCCTATATGATTCCTGCGTTGCAAACAGGCCTTGTCCATGACTTCAATAATATTACATTATATGCATATATGAGTACGTATTAGATCTAGTTTGAACAACCTCTGGAATTAGCACCAAGTATTGTCATCTAGTCAGCTCTGTCTTTCCTACTCAAGCAGCGCCATTGTCATTCATGCTTAAGCTTTCCTTCATATTTGGAATTCTCAAATATGTGTGGAAGATATTTTAGAACATGATTAATAATTAACATGGAGAAATGGAAGCATGTATCGGAATTGATATAGTGCATAGTAGACTTGAAATATAATCAAGTTTCCATGCCTAAACTAACAATAAATGCTATTTCTACTTTACCATGGTTTCTTTGTTGTGGTGCAGATAAAGTCTTTTCATGTGGCTAATAAGTGAGTATGCTGCTGTTAGTTTTAACCAAATCTCTCTAGACTAACAAATTGTGAGCGGTGGACTAAACTTGTTAACAAATTGCGGGCCTATTATCTGCATGGTATCGATTAATGCTTGAGCTCAGGGTTTGACAATTTATTGTTATTGGATCATTTGCTTTAAATATTTAAACCATCTACAAATCCTTCTTGTACACATTGTCTATGTTCTACTTATCAGTGAATTTAATTGATGCATATAAATTGCGCAGGTAGACAGGTTAAAACCGTCGGATGACTCGCTTGATATTCCCTCGAAGTGTACAGTTGTTCATGATCACAAACCAGATACGGAACAAGGCGATAACAACATTGTTCACCAGGACAATGCTTCCACCGAGACTCCAAAATCAACAGTATTAAATGACTCTTGCAGTGCTGAAAAAGAAAAGACCGATGCTTGTTCAAGATCTGTAAATAACTCATCTACAGGACCATCTGTCTCTGGAGTTACTAGTTCAGTTCCCGACTTCTCCATTTTAAGAGGAGAAGTCTGTTTGGATAATCTTACAATTAGAGAACTTCAGGAAGCATTTAGAGCCACATTTGGGCGCGAAACTACTGTCAAGGACAAGTTATGGCTCAAAAGACGGATTACAATGGGATTGACCAATTCCTGCGATGTTCAAAGTTCAGGCTGTGTAGTTAAAGATTATAAAATAGTTTGCAAGGATGCCAAATACGAGCTACCTACAATTGGAGGAATACCTAAGGCTGAGGTTGAGGCTACTTCTTTGGTTAGGTATCAAGTATTGGGTCCTGGAAATGAGAGAGATACACCATCTTGCTCTTACTATCGGAGTGAGGACCAACAGCGATCCTCCAATAGGCTAAAAGGAGTATCAACAGACAACGATGAATCAGAAGGAACTTTGCAGGATGAACAAGGCGCCGCTAAGAGACTTAGAAAACCAACAAAAAGGTACATTGAGGAGCTCTCAGATACCGAGACACTTGACTCCACTGGGAAGCTTTCTTCACCAGGAAAAAGGGTTGCACATGGTGAGGTGTTACTCAGACAACGGGTTACTCCTTTACAAGAAGTTGATTCATTGAGTATAACTTATCCTACCCGGAAGGATACTTTTGGAGGATTTAGTGTACATGTTCCTTATGCGTCAAGGATGAGAAGAGGGCGTCCTCGGAGAAACTTCATTTCATTTTTGGTAACAATCTACTTACTTTTACAGCTTTGCAATCGTCTGCCTTTTTTATTACTGCGAAGAGACACATACATTAAGTTACTACATTCTGGTAATGATGGTACATGTCATTCTCTTTATTTTCTTGAAGATGGATTTTGTTTATAGGGTATTGTGCCCTTTGTAGCTTTGTTCTCAGAACAGTTGAGACTTAAACAAAACACATAGCTAATACATTTTGGCATATTATTATCAGTATGGCCCAAGTAGGATAGAATCACTATACACTCAGCTGGCTCACATGCCAGATTCTCACCTAAGAAACTTGTGGTACTACCTCTGTTCCTAAATATACGACATTTTGGAAGTTGCATTTAAACTGCCAAAACGTCTTACATTTTGGAACAGAGGGTGTATATTTCAAGCAACTCTATTCAGTACCTAATTGAGTTATTATTTTTGTTCATTGAACTCATTACCCTATTTCGCTGCCTTGTCAATTCCTTCTGCCATTTTCTTAGAAAAATATGATAAATCTCTGAACCTTCATTACAACGTTTGACCATGCTGTCTCTTAAAGAGCTTAACATGTTGGCCTCACTTCAATACAAATCTTTCCTTGTGGATATCTCTACAGTCTGTGTCTGACATGTAGGTTAATGTATAACTGTCAAGGAAGACTTGCATTGCCATATCATGCCCAGTGCACTGTTAGAACAATTTAGACCAATTAGCCAACCGGTCCAAATGGGGAAAGCCTGAAAAGTACATACGATAGCCTAATTAGACAAAGTTAATGCAACCTGCCACATTGTTGTGCTGAGCCGTTATTAGTAATTGTGGCGTGTGTTAGCATTATTTTTGTATGTCTCACTAGATGTCACACATTATTTCTTGGATGTCTCACTAGATGTCACTAAGTATGCTCTTTATGTTATACCTTGAATAACAGGATGATGATCCACCTGTGGAATGTCCTGAGGTTCAGATGGCAGTTGAGACGATGTTGGGAAAAGATGGTGAACATGTGAATCATGCAAGCAGTGCCGTGGAAGTTCCACTATCGGTATGCCATATGCCTCTGATCATGTAGGACCACGTAGGAAAAATGTACACTTTAGAAGCTGATAATAACTAGCTAGAAATATATGTTGAAACACATATTACTTCAAACATTATTACTGAGCTGCAAATGCGGCCGTGTTTGGCATGCAATGATATGTTTTCTCTTGTCCATCTTGGTACTAGAAAAATGCTGAGAAGAAAGGAGGGCATATAGAAACAGCTGAGAAGAAAGGAGGGCATATAGAAACAGCTGATAACAAGGAGATTCATTCCATAGAGCCAGAGGATATTTGCAGAACTGATGCCAAGACGAAAACAAAGCGGGGTTTGAAGCGGAAGCATCATCGAGCATGGACATTGTCCGAGGTTCTGAAGCTGGTCGATGGCGTGGCTCAGTTCGGGCCTGGCAAATGGTCTGAGATTAGAAGACTATCCTTTGCCTCATATTCTTACCGCACCTCAGTGGATCTCAAGGTGGGTTTACTCTCGCAGTTCCTCACTCACTCCTTACGATTTGGTTTTCTAATGGATCACGCTGCCATTGTTTAGGATAAGTGGCGCAATCTGCTAAGAGCCAGCCAGACACAGCTTTCGCCGGAAAATGATGTAATTACTTCTCCCTTTTCAACTTATACGGATGTTCAACTTTTTTTCCAATCAGCTCAGTTATTCCCATCCTGTCCTGTTTGCTCCTGGATTACTGATTGCTCACTTTCTTCACTCTTCAATGGTGCTGAGCAGGGTGTTTGTCCGCGGAAAAGCAACCCTTCGATCATTCCAATACCACCGGCCATTTTGCTACGAGTGAAAGAGCTAGCTGAGCTTCAGCCGCAAGCCGGCAACCTGGCGGCGGCAATCAAGTTCTCAGGGCAGAGCAGCAAGGCGGCACAGGGGAGAGGTTCATCGGGGTTCCCGTGATCCATTTGCTGCAAGGCAAGTAGATGAAAAAACAAACATCCGAGAGAGATAGTAGGTGTAGTACGCTTGTGGACGACGAACACACTTATTATCGCGACGAAGTTGTTGTGATCGCGTTCTCCATGTGCAATGTAAATAATCTACCGCGCCTGCAAAATGCAATGCAATGCCTTCTCACCTGGTTTCTTTCGCAGCATGTATTTTATGTACAGTATGTTCATAGAGCTTGCCATACGTTCGAGGTAGGTCATACTGAAAGTATGCCTATAAGGATGAATATATCGGAAGTTTTCTTGCAAAAAGAAAAATGATGCATGTGCATCGGCAATGGAATGAAAACACAACACCGGGCGACTTTGAATCTACTCGAAGAAGATTACTGTCTGTACTCTGTACTGTAGTTGCACTCTGTAAAAGATGACACGGAGATTACTTTTTTTTTAGGGGTACATGGAAATTACTCGACCTTTGTGTCAAAAAATCACGACAAATTGGCCCAGTTAGCTGTTCAGCTCAGCCCATTTGTTACACATGACAAAAACAGCGCTGAAAACAATTAGCCCATCCAACATTTTTTTTTCTAACTGTGCCCAGTCCAACTTTTGTAACGTGGGCTGCTCGCACGGGACCTGCCGAGGGCCACGAACCCACGGCCGCGTTCGATGCGCCGTCGGGGGCTATAAAACCTAGGAAGCGCCCAGAAAGGGATCGATCTAATCTAATCTAATTAGGGCAGGCGGAAGCGAAGGGATCTGCGCTGAGGGGAGGAAACGAAGGATCCGCTCGTGCGCGTGCTATCTGCCTCCCCGGGTACGGATCTTCGAGTTTGGCCGACTTTTGATTTTGAAATGGATTTTTTTTCTTCATCTATTTGGCTATTTGAAAGATGTTTTTTCATAGATCTGTTTTGTTTTAGGTCATGATTTTGTGTTTAGATGTAGATCTGACAAAGGTATGATAGATTTGAAGTAGATCTGTTATAGTGGGTTCATCGTTCCATGATGCAAGGCGTACTATAATTCGCTAAAGACAAGGATTTGGTCAACAATTATTTTAGTGATGTGTAACTTATGTGATATTTATAACTATTTTTTAACACGGTTCTAATGATATAATGTTTATGTCACATAAATTATACTCCCTTTGCCCGGAAATATTTGTTGGAAGGATGAATGTAGCTAAATGTATTTTACTTCTAGATACATCCATTTCTCCAACAAGTATTTCCGTACGGAGGGATTCCTATTTTAGTAGAGTAATTGTTCATCAAACTCTTGCCTACACAAATCATGATGCACCTTATACTATGAGACAAGTAATAATTTAGATAGTAAAAACAGTTCAAGAAAGTGTTAGGTAAACATCTAAGCTTTGGGTAAATATCAAGATGGGATGTGACCTAGAGGATGTAATTGATTCACTCATGGTATTATCAATAAGTCCTCCTTGGATCGAAGTATTTTAATCCATACGAAGCCCTTTGGATCAAAGATTTTGCGTGGACATTCTCTCTATAAAATTGTTATATGTTATGATAGTCTCATTCTTTGTAGAATCCAATGCTTTAAGAATCATTTGTTTCGCAGAGGCCATAAGATTAACTCTTAGTTATAAATTGAGATTTTGTTCCAGATTTCCTCACAGTACCAACATTCTCAATCTGAACCACTTTGGTATTTTCTTCATTTTGACATTATGGACACATATCGAGCCAATTTCTTATGTGACACATCCATGGGCCCGTCAGGGAGGCACACAACCTTTTAGGAGGCCTCTCACTCGCTTCCTCCAACATCTGCCTTTCTCTCCCTGCACTCTTGATTCCCATGCACAACTATGGAAAATGTATAGATGGTGACTTATGAGGAACCACACCATCGATGTTGATTCTCTGCATGATGTTTGGCCAACCTCTTGCAACAACTTGCTTGGTCTTCTCAACAATCACTACTTTTCTTATGTCTTGTCAATGTGCACTTTGTCAAAGTCGTGCTCAAGCCCACTTGAAATTGCTGAGCTTACTCTATTCTTTATGAGTGCACATGTTTGTGTCTCATTTTGAGCCGAGTTTGAGATTTCTCTAAGGTGAGCTTGAGCTTGCTAGCAAGCTCTATTTCAAACTTATCTTTAAACCTTCTACCGATCTTGACTTGACCTACCAATTGTTAGAGCACTGTTTGTTGGTAGATCTATTGTATAGGCCCTTTGGTGTTGTTGAATTAACAAAGTGGATCCCCATACCAATGGGATTAGCTATCTAAGGATGAGATGTGTCTCCCCTTGATTCCTTTTCTATATCTACATGAAGAGTATTCCACTAGATATGTACCATCTTCTAGCCCACTTGTTGAATTGCCACAATAGCTAATCCATATCATTGTTTGTATTCTACTACTTGCAGTACCAAATCTTTCAGATGTCAAGAGACTCTTCTGAGAGAAATGTGTCTGGAATTGATCATATCAAGCACTATAAAAACATTATCTCTGAGTTGTTACTCGGAAAAGAAGGCACATTCTCTACTGGAGTTGCAAAACAAACTGAAGTTGTTATGGCCCAATATAACCGCAAAGCGGGTGAAGATTCTCTTCCATTATTCATGGAAGAAATTAGGGGCCTATCAAAATGTGCCATGGAGAGATTAAAGCATGCTCTCCATAAGGTTTTTACAATCCTCAATGATGAAGTTGATGAGGTACAAATACTTCACATTTTAGGCTTCTATCCACTATGTTCCGTGCCATTCCTCAAAATGAGGTTTTTACAATCCTCAATGATGATGTTGGTGACCTGTTAACCCGCATACTACATTAAGTTCCATTAACAACTAGTCCATCCAAACACCCGATGAATTGGTCGACTTGATGCTACTATAATGGGCATAGGAAGCGATGGAGTTAGGAAAGTACGGAGTTTATCTCATTTTTTTCTTACAAAATCTACCTCTGGGAACATGCACAATGGGCTAGTGTTAAATGTGTTGATTCTATTGGTATGCCTAAGGTTGTGAGGGTCTTATTCATTTGGTTCATTTAGGGTGAAAATAAGACCAATATCATAGAGTTATTATCATAGGCTCTAACAAACAATTACAATGTGTTTGGGTGGTAATCTATACCCCTATATAGTGTGAATAACTTTGAAAGTTGGTCGTTGGTGAAGCCAATCCGACGGTACAGAGATGGCAAATCCGAGCACTACTGGCCGTTGGATATCATCTACATTCCACCAGATTCTGCCACATGTACAATCTAGAAGACTCCATGGTTGAACTTAAGCATAATGCACAAACCTCAAAACACAAGCACTTCTCCTTTGTTCTAGAATCTTCCATATCTTAATTGCCCAAACTTTTTTTATTCTAAATGAATTGTCACTATTTGTTTTTACTTTATGCTTTACAATGCACAATTCCATGAATCTTAAAATAGATTTTTTTTATAAAACTAATTAATTTTGAATGAGATGAACTATAAGAATTAAACGAACATCTACATCATGCATATATGACTCAAAGCTTACATGCTATAGTGTGGTATTTATTCATAATTTGGTTACCAAATCTCATGCGTGCAATGCACGTGTACCTTACTAGTTAGAGCTAGGGAGGGAATGGAAGGGGTACATGACTTGAAATATATTGTTTGGTTACGGGTTGGGAATTGAGAAGAGATTAGGCATGGGAGTTGGGTAAGGGTTCGAAGTTGAAAGGGAATTGATTTAGTGATCCATCTTGACACTTCATCATAACATACATTACCTTCCCTTATCTAGTCCCTTGTCAATTACCACAAACCAAACTAGGCAATATAGTTTCTCTTCAAATTCCCACACAAAATTTCTATTATGTACCAAACAAAGGATTGTAAATAAATGGATGCATCCATTTCTATTCTCAATACAACACCCTATTCTAAACTCCCATTCCCCTTCCCAAATATTGCCAAATGCGTTGTTAGTTAACGAGAATCTCTTTCCTTGCTATTGTAGGCTTAAACATAGGCATAGGCAGCTCGATTCAGTAGGCCTAGCCTAAAAACGCAATTGTTGGGCTGGGCTTGGGCTCCAATTTTCTGCTTGAAATCCTAGAAAAAGCACAAGCATGCAAAATATATAATTTATATTGAAAAAACAGATGCAATAGTTCATGGATATTCCATGTCATTTAGCAAACTAGCAACTTTACACATATGGCTAAATTTTTACTGATAGAGCTATATTGCTATATACTAGTACTATGTGCTCGATAGATTAAAAAAAGTCAACGAGTGCAAGTAGCAAGGTTAGCGCATATTTATAAGGGTGTGCTACGCGTCCGCCCATTGATCTTCTTAAAAGATCGGCTGGGTCATGAGTCGTCCGATCTATGATGCGTATGATCCCTCTTCTTTGTTTCCCCACTGCAACTTGACCCTTGTCGCAATTGCAGCAAGTTTCTTGTTGCAATTGCAAACATGACTTTTTTTTGCGAGGTTGTAACTTGACCCTTTTGCAACAAGAGCCTAGTTACAATTGCAATAGGGCCCTTGTTGGAATTGCAAACATGGCGTTTTTTGTGAAACTTTATTTATGAGGCTGTAATATGACCCTTTTGCAACAGGAGCATTGTCACAACTGCAACGGGCACTTTCTCGTGGCCGTTTCCGCCATCGGGAAACATAGTCGCGTTTTACAGTCGTCGTTCGCCGCCGTTGTTGCAAAGAAGGAAGAGGGAGGAGAATAGGAGGGACACGATTGGGGAGGCTTGGCTTGTCTGTGTATTCGCCGGAGGCGGCTTACGGATCGGGGAGGCAGTGCATGGACGATCTGGGAAGAGTCGACGATGGAGAAGAAATAGAGGAAAGGAATATGTGGCTGTCGTTGCTCGTGCGAGGATAAGGGGTCACCTGGTTTGACTCGCCGGGAAGGACTAATCTTTTTCTGTTGGTTAGGCGGTTGGGCTGGCCGGGAAGGACTAATCTTTTTCTGTTAGTTAGGCGGTTGGGCTGGCCCACGATAATCCTCTTGTGTTAGTTGGGTGGTTGGGCAGCCCATGATAAAATAGACCTAGTATCGATAGTCATATTTCAGCCATGTCGAACCTAGTAGTTTGTTATTTCTTTTTACTCCAATGTTTTAAGGGTTCTCGATCTATCTGTCTACATAAGCTTCTGAAGTTACAGTACTATAGTTATTAACTTAAGATTCTTTGATATTGCTCAGGCAGAACTGCTGTGATTTGTCTAATATCTAAAATTGGCTGCAGATATTTGGTTACATTTTCGCACTATCTGAATTTAGGTCTGAGAAGTTGCCGTCAAACCATGGAAGCGGATCGTATGAGGACAGTATCGCCCCACCAAGTGTTAAAAAACAGAAAACTGTGACAGTTTCTACAATCGATGCTTATGAAGAATCGCATGGTCATATTGATTCAGATATCTTTGCACAGGTGAAGAATCTTTGTTCTATACCTAACTGTTATGCTTAGGCGTTTCGTTCAGCCAATCCAACATTTAATCTTTGAAAAATGGAAGATTAAAGAGAATACCCTCATCCCAGCTACCTTTTTAAGAATCGGATGGCCATTAATGCAAATAGTGGATGCAATTTTGTTGCCATTTTTGTGAGGGGAAACTTAAATACTTATTGTACCCACTTGCAATAGCCAACCATAATCCTGCCGAAAAAATAGGTGACTGGTTTTGTTTGTTGGTCTTTCATGTCAAATGATGTGAGAATGAGTTAGGCTATGCACCAAACCAGTGGTTCCATTATAAGAACATTTTCAGAAATTGCCAAAGCAGTAGCAGCCTAACAGATGAGGCTTTTGCTTCTGGCAGCTCACAAGAGATATCCGGCTGATAGAAGAAAGTGGCAAAACACGTCAAGAGGCTGCAAAGATGTTCTCTGATGGGTTGCTGCGGAAGGTATTCAACATGGCATGTGGTTATGAAATATCCTTTGTCAAATAATATCTTACACATATTTTTCATGAGTTATTCTAAGGATTTAAGTGAGACATTTTTTTCAGCTTGCTGAAATGGAGCAAGGTGTTTATGATTTACTGGACACAGTGGCATCCAAGTGCAGGTATCATATGTCGCTTGTCTCAATTTGAGTGATATGCTTACTTATGCTGACTGTCAAGATTGTATATACATCTACTATATGCAGAAATTTATTGAATTGCTGCATACTGTCAGATCTATGACCACTCCTGAGAAGATTGAACTTGGTAGGCGCGTCCGCAAACTCCCAGAGACGGCACTTGATCACATGGTGGAGGTAGTTAAAATGAGGAGACCTGCAATCTCGGTTTCTGATAAAGTATCATTCAACTTAGGAAGACTGGTACTCAACCTATCTGTTCCTACTACTTAATTTTACTTTTAAGTAAATGACATTGGTCATGCTACTTACTATTACGCCAACCATGATTCTGCCATGTAGATATGTTTGGAATTTTATTTTAGTCTTTATGAAATTATGAGAGGTACATACGTGTTATGTTAGATGCAGGCTTCAAATGACAGCATGTTTTGCGTTAACTTTGCTATTAAATTTACTTGTTTGCAGAAGCTTCAAGTCTCGTATATCTCCACTTGATTTACTTTATTACGTACTATATTCACCATATCCTCACTTGCTTCCATTTCCTTAGGATGACACAACTTTGTGGAGACTGTACTACTATGTGGAAACTGTGTTAAAAGCAAAACAAGATCGGACGGTCACCCCTCCCTAGATGTTCCATGCGCAGTAACTGCCGGTCCATCTAAAGTATCGTCCAGGTTATACTATGGTTAGTTTTAGTATAATCCAGTGTAGGTGGTGGTAGTGCTTTGCAGAAAGAAATACATTAGCTTCAGCTAGCTGCCAATGCAACATCTCTGTTGTACCTGTATGAAGATAATACTAGCAGGAGAGTAGCATCAAAAGCGACATCATAACCGCTATCTAGAGCTGCAGAAACTAGTGCACTGACCACTATGGCACTGGTGACAATTTTGTTTTTGCATGCCATATTGCAAATCAATCCTGGTCAGCTCCTGCAGATATTCCACTCCACTATTATGGGATTACGCCTTCTCATTTTATCATATTGCCTCTTGTTCAATGTTTCTGCAAAAGTTTCAGCAATGGAGGCCTTTCTGTGCGCGAAAGATATCGGGTCAACTTCGCGACTCTGGCGACAATTCTTTGTGTTTGGTCCTTCTCCAGCAGATGATCTGGAAGGCTCGGGCATAAAGAATCGACGGGGAAAGCCTCCTAGATTGTGTGAGTGGCCGGTGGTTGAGTGCTGCATTGCGTCAATCAAATCTCGTTCGGTTTGTGTTTAAATGAGAACATTAAAGCTCTCGCCATGTTGTTCCTTTATTTTCCTCTTTGAAAAGGCGTGAGTGATGTGCTTTGCTGTGAGATAATCGAATATATCGATGAGAGTAACATAACAT